GAGTTCTACTCCCACAGACGTTACGATAGTACGATGAACAGACAACGTTCCCACAGCCCTACCGTCTCTCAGCCGATCTTACCCTAAAAACATTCCTTCTAGATTGAATGACTATTTGTACACCCATTAACTGAAAAAAACAACGTAAGAAGGTTGTTTATTAGCCGCTATAAGATGGCAATCTCTAATTCTAACAATACGATGATCGCGAAGCCAGAAGTGCAGTTGGCTTGTACCTTAGTAGCTTAATGATCAAAAGCATCTTCGGGCTGAGAGCCAAATGGTGAAAAACCTGAGAAGCTGCACAAACTATCCTGAATCCTCTTCAATCGTCACGCATGCCTTTCGAAATATAGCGCTAAACTTCATAACTACCCCTGAGAAGGGACTCTTACTGTGCAAGATCTGCAGGTATTGCTTTGGACGTCCGCTGTGCTTCTCAGGTGTACCCGTTGTACCCGTTCAGAGAAAATTTTATCGGACATTGGTAGTATCACTCAGAAAATAACATACAACGGTTTTCTTGCACAAAACTTAATGAATGATTAAGTTTAAGAACGCATAACTCCTCAACGGCCTAGTTTGACGCCGTATTGCTCCTCCCTCATGGAAGGAGTAAAGTTACTTCAGAAACAATGACATGAAATTTTTTGCTTCATCAGAACAGCACGAGCAGTTGATAAAGAATCATAAATCCCGGACTCAGAAGCGCAACGGCACACAGTGAAGGGGAGTAAATAAGGGGGCATCCATGCGACATGATGTATGAGTGGATTTGCTAATGGAAGAAGAGATTCCTACTTGAAAAAATCAGAATAATACAGTCCATCCGCTTCAAATCAATATCGAGTAGATGCCACTAAAATGGGAAATCGCCGGTACAAGATATCATTCAAAATTACTGGTGGAAATATTTCACATGCGCGCAGAGTGTAATAGCGTAGCAGTTTCGGGTAGTAATAGAGTATTCCAGTCTGGTGCCCAGATTCCTAACGAGTACCGTATATTTTATTTAAACAAATGGTTGCGACTTAGCTGAGGAACTTCCGGTCGATAAGCAGCCGGCAGATCCTCGTAAAGAACTTTACCATTTCACTTGCGACGAAAATCAGACCACATTTTCTTGCGAATGTCATCTTAATGGATAAGCAAAATGGCTGCGAGATACAAAGCCAAGGTTACAAAGAGCCGTTCTAATTGAATCACTTGTCCACCAGTCAAATTCGACATGCAAGATGTAACATCTCACGTGGAGCAGCTGAAACATCGTGACTCATCAATCATTCGACTGATCATATTCTTAAGTTGTGTACTAATGAATAGTTTTATACCGCCTTTCAATATGACCACAATTGCACAAACGAAATACTCAGTCTCATTACGATAGACATTTGGAAAAGTTACAATTTACTCCTTGGACAAACTCATCAAGAAATGCCCCGACGAAAATGCAGAACGTAATATGTAACCCGATAACGTGGAGTGCTACCAAGAATTGTAGCTTTTCGATTTCACCGCAGACAGTTATTGAATGCCATCTGCTGAGACCGGATTTACATGAAGAAAACTGCAAAGCTATTTACTTTGCAGAAATACTATGGTAGTGTAAGGCGGATGACAGTTATTAAACTGGTTTGTACAGGGACACTGCATCACTCCGTTGCTTCTAAGCAAGTGAGGGAACTCTTTAAGCACGCCATGTTTCCATGATGTTTAAGCATTTGAAGTGCGATCCAGCGCCCTATCCGACCTCGAGGGTACCATCTCGTATCGGTGAGCCGAGCTGCGTACATGCATACATGATCCACCGCAGCTTCTCCCACCTGCCTCCAACGACAAAATTTGCCGCTTATGTTCACTGTCTTATCACCGTGTTTGAGGTATAGTCGGGAAGTAAAATTCGCAACATTCATCTTTTCACTGCTTTCGCGATGATAAGTAGCTGGCGCGCTTCGGTCTCATGAAAGAGCATATTTTGCAGCCATATAATATTGCCAACATGGTGGTAGAATAAAAGAGGTAGTGCGGCTATCTTTCCTGATGTTGCCGAGGAAACCGTCTTCGATGGAACACAGGGATTTGCAATTGGCCCTGTTCTTTCGTTAGATTTTGCTAGCCTGACCATGCCGCATGTTGATTTCATGGTTAAAGCGAATGTATTTATTGACTTTTTGCTGTTTAGCCGTACCTGGGCCTTCAGTACGGCACTTGATTTCAATTTGTTCGTCCTTGACCAATAAATTGGCAGTACAACTTCTGCACCTCTTTCTGAGCTAGTGTGGTATGTCTCATAGCTTATTGACGTTACTGTAAATAGCACCACGTCATTAGCAAACCTTAGGTGGCTTTGCTGTACACCACTAATGGTAATCACAAGATCAACATCCGGGACACAATTTTTAAACAGAGAGTGAAGAATTTTTAAGGAGATAGTATCTCTTCATTTCATACGGTCCATGACGTTTCGACGCAGACCGCTACTCGGTGTCAGCGCTTGGTCCTACAGTCGCTGTATTGAATCTGTATAACCGGATGGAGTCCATTTTTATCAATTATATGGTTCGGCCTATCTTGTTATATGCATGGATATCAATGAATAGATCTCGGTGAGTAAAGTGAGACGCCCTTGACAAACTGGTGAATTTCATAACATAATTCCATTTTGACGACTGGGCGACATGAGTGCGTTACCAGGCAACCTGCAGTCGGGAGTTTGCATTTATGCTATTTGCAGGTGGTCATCTGTATCAGTGGAAAGCTCTCCGTAGCTGCAATGCAGTGCCGTTGTCAAACTGTGAATGCAGTTGATTTTCATTTTATTTTATGATTCCATCGTGGTGATGACCGCCCAAAAATACTTAATCAGAGCGTTGTTGTGATCAAGAATCGGACTATATACACTTGCAGGTGGTCATTTGCATCAATTACTAGATTGATTCATTGATTGATTGATTGATACTTGATTGATACTTGATTTAACCCTACACGTCATATATCGCTCGAAACCTCTGTGTTAGTAAAATATGAAACTTTCGTCATAAGTATCACTTTCAAAGTTGGCATTTCGTCCGACGATTTCACAGTGACAGTCGCGACAGAGTCATTAAATCGCCACATCTTAGCGTTCACATTAACAGACTCGAGTTCAAATCTGTGGATCCTCAGAAGTCTCTCTCTATTTCTGTTATGACTGACATCACCACGTTGCAGATCAACAAAATGCGGCTTCTGAGAGCAGTACGTAAGTTCTGTCGCAAGACTGAATTGTGCAAGGCATAAAGCCGACAATGTCTGTATGCCATTGCACATACTTCAACTATTTATGATTTACTGTATTCTACCAAGCCGTTAACTAAAATCGGCGAAAAACAATAGTAATCTGTTTTATAAATTTAGTCTTTCAAAATCAGATGAAAGCGTTACCGAAATCAGTGATAAAAGCCATAACTGATTCCTGCCAGAAGTTCGGTGAGGAGTTAGGGTCGAATTTCCACACAGAAAACAAGATATTCTTGCAGACCATCACCCGGCTCCGAGGTGAAAAGAAGAACACACTAAAAATATTGAAGGACAGCTCTAGACACCCTCTTACCAAGGTTGATGATATTCTTCAGCGATGGAGAGAGAACTTTGAAGAGCTCCTTAATCCTGAGAAAACTAGATTGTAGAGTAGCAGGGAACGGGTATTACAATCTCATCATCATCATCTTCCATCGCCGCTTCTCCTTTCGGGTTGCGGTATTGCAATCTCTATAGATGAAATTACCCAAGCTGTGAAAAGCTTGAAAAACGGAAAGGCTGATGGAATTTATGAAATTTGCATTGAGATGTTCAAGGCATTAGGCGAACAAAGCATCTTTTCCTGCATGACTACGGGAAAGGTACCAGACGACTAGAGAACGGGCTATCATACCCGTATTCAAAAAGGGAGAAAAAAGAAACGCTCTAAGTATAGGGGCATTACGTTATTGAGCCTCCCAAGCAAAGTCTGCACAAAGGTGCTAGAAAGGAGGTGCCGTGAAAGAGTTGACCTCAAGATCCAAGAAGAGCAGTGTCGCTTCCGGCCAGGTCGAAGCACACCTTCTTCTTCATCTTCATCTTCCATCGCCGCTTCTCCTTTCGGGTCGCGGAGGCAGACGAGTCAGACAGCGCTTCCAACGATCCCGATCCTGTGCCAGAG